CAAAGCAACAACAAAAATGACGACTCGAATTGATTATCATGAGTTGGAGGAAGAAAAAAAGCTTGGTGAAGGATCTTTTGGTATTGTGTACAAAGGGATGTACAGAGGAAATGTTGTTGCAATTAAAAAGATGAAACAAATGAGTGAAAGTGACACTGCACAAATGTTGAAAGAGTTTGAGAAGGAAGTTGATATGCTTGACAAATTTCGAAGTGACTATATAGTCCACTTCTATGGAGCTGTATTCGTACCAAAGAAAATATGTATGGTCACTGAACTTGCGCCGTATGGAAGTTTGAATGACTTAATGAAACATAAAAAGAGTGAAAATATCACAAAGAAAATGCGAGTTAAATTTATGATGGATGCATCTAAAGGAATATTGTATTTGCATGAGAATGGGATATTACACAGAGACATTAAACCAGATAATATCTTAATTGTGTCACTTGATTTTAACACAAAAGTCTTTGGTAAACTGACTGATTTTGGATCATCAAGAAATATCAATTTGTTAACGACTAACATGACATTCACTAAAGGTATTGGTACACCAGTGTACATGGCGCCTGAAGTCTTACAACAAGAAAGATACACAAAAAGTGCAGATGTTTATTCACTTGGTATTACAATGTTTGAGGCATTCACTTGGCAAGAAGCTTATCCAAAGGAACAATTCAGATTTCCATGGAAAATTGCGGAGTATGTCACACATGGGAAACATCCAAGAAAAAGATCAAGTATCACAAAAGAAGAGTACGATTTAATCCAAGATTGTTGGACCTTTAGAAAAGAAAAGAGAATCAAATGTGAAGTTGTCATTGAGAGACTACAAACGTTGTTTGATCAATTGTAACGTATATATATCAATTGATAATTTCTGTGTTATTCTCTGTTATATTTTGAATGATGACTTTGTTTTTTAACCATAAAATCATATTGTTAGTTGTATCAACCTTTTGTGGATTATTTCTAAAATTGCTTTAATTATGTAAACAATAAACCAATATATTATTTTTTATCTTCAAATGGATATAGAGTTAGTCGGAAAACGTTGTCCTTAGCTTTTTGGTCAATGAAAATCGGAAATTATCGGGATCATGTTCGAAATATAAAAAAATAGTTGTTTCAGTTTATTTTTTCAAATTTTTTTCAATTTTTTTCAAATTTTTTCAATTTTTACCTAATTCCCGGTATTTTAAACAATTATTTGTGTATAAATTGATGAAAAGGACAACGTTGGCGGCTGGATAATAATTGTATATCTATAATTTTGTTATAATAAAATTATTTTTATAGAATTTTAATTTGGAATTGCCGAATTATTTTTGTTTTTTTCTTTTTTTTAACCAATCAAATAAAAGCAATAAATCGAATGTTTTGCTATACCGTATAGTTAAATACAATTAATTTACTATAATTTCGGTTTTCACTACAGCTTTTTTTCGTTACTATAATGAAATATATTTATAATTAAATGATTGAGTGTTAATCAAACAACACATGTTATTATTAATTCTTTTAACACTTTAAATAACATTGAACATAATTCAAGTGGTCTAAAAAACAGGAAATTTCGAGTTTATTAAATAAATTTCCGTTTTTTTAGAGATTGTATTAAGTGGATAAACAATACACAAGCCAAAAGAGGAAAATCATTAAAAAATTAATTATTATCCTCGTAAAAACAGGCCAAAACAAAAACAAGGGCTTTATTTTAAGTGTTAATGAATTAAAAAATAATGATTTGATTGTTAAACTAAAAAATATCACTTGGTATTATTAAATGTTGTTTAAAAAAACAATAATATTAGTGCCCTTAATTTT